TTTAACCTCATTTCTAATACAACTAATTAAATTCACATTTAAATTATTGAAAAATATTTAATAATAAAATTATAATATTATTTTAAATATATCACACATAACTACACTAGAGACATTTAGTATAATATATTATCTTTTATAACTTATATATTAAAATGAAAATTTAAAATTAAATATATTGTTGTACATCTAATATTAATGCCCAAAATAATGAATAATGGTTTTCTTTTAAAATAATGACTTAGTCTAATCTATATCTAATTAAGATCTAGTAAAGCCTACAAAAGTTGTTGATGGTATTTGTTCTTACCGGAGATCGGTCGTGAAGGGCGATCTGCTGGGCAAGATTGGTGAGCCTCCTTCGCTGGGTACGTCAGCTGTTCCAAAGTGGGGGGGGGACCTGCAAAAGAGACTCCGATTCTAAAGCTAGTCTTTGTGGGTGTATGGGTCTCGTATATGTAGTGCACGTACCTTAGTGTGAATTAGGGTTTATCTGGGCCCTAGGCCTGAGGTCGGTTGTGATCTATTCAGATAATGGGCCTTTGTTTTGGCCGATGTCTTATAGCGCTCATTCGACGTCATTTAGCACTTTAGTGTCAAGCTTGAGCTCGGCTCGTGATGCGGATAGTACACTAGCCCCCCGAGCTCTAAAGACCTTGGGTCGAAAAGTTAATTGCCAAGTACGTGGGGGGCCGCGTCTCTTTGTTTGTGCCTCTTAGGCAGAGTGCCACGTGTCATAAAGTGTGGTCTCATTTTTTGAAACGCATGGGCAGCGCATAATGGGGGGTGATGGTTTATAACGATGAGGTGCACCTATCATTATGACCCCCATTTAATGCCTGCCCGTTTTGTCTTTTCTACTTTCGTATCACTTTCGTTCTCTTATTATTTTTTTTTAAAACATTTTTTCCCTCTCTCCTTCGCACACTTTCAACTTTCCCCTTTGGCTTCCTCTCGACGCTTAGTCTCTTCTTTGCATACTCTTCGTCTCCATTCTCTTTTACTGTTCTTATCCTTTCGCCTTCTCCGTCGTCTTCCTTGATAGTCGTCGGCACCATTTTGTTATTGTTCGAGGAGTACCAGGTACTTCTCTTTCACCGTTTCTTTGTTCTCTTTCTATTAGTGTTGTCGTCGTTTCTTTCTTCTTCTTCGACTTGTGTCGCAAAGAGTAATGGCTGGTGAGGGCGGTCAAGATTTGATTCCCCCTAAGGCCACCGCTAGGCAGGCTAAAGAAAAGGGTAAGGCGAAAATGGTCGCTGCTGGTGGCGAGCCTAAGGGTAAGAGGGGGGGTAACAACCCCAAGGACTCGCACCCCGCCATCTCCATCCCTAGGTACGAGTGGGTTCGGGGGGATGTTGGGGAGTTTGAAAGCGTGTTCAGGTCATTTCTTGATGTAAATGCGATGTGGAAATCGCATAGGATCTGTAAGTCGTCCATCTCCAAGCTCATCCGGGTTGAGCCCTGCCAACCCGGTGAGCGTGTGTATATGGTGGGTACTCCGAATACCCCTTTCTTCTATATGTACCAATTTTTTTTCAGAGATCTAGGTGTGTGTTTACCCTTTACGCAGTTTGAGTGTGATTTTCTGAACTTTGTCAATGTGGCCCCCTGCCAACTGCACCCCAATAGTTGGGGCTTTTTGAGGGTTTTTCAAGTTTTGTGCTCAGCCTTGGGGATAGGGGTGTCCTTGCCCATTTTTCTTCATTTTTACCAAATCAAATTGGGCAAACCTCCCCTGGGTTGGGTATCTCTAAGTGGGAGTAAGGCTGGGGGTTGTTCCAGCTTTATTTCTAGTCATATAAGAGCTTCAAGAAGGAGTTCTTCCAAGTTCGGCCTGTTGAGGCCGACCCACTGGTCAACGAAGTTTTCCACTTCGGAGGGGTGCCGAGGTTTCCCCTCTTCTAGCAGCAGAACCTGATCAAATTTAATGGGTCAAGTAGCCTTCAACTGTTGGATTCCGATAATACTACCATCACCAACTTGGTCGCTCTTCCTCGCCCCTTGGACTGCAAGCTCATCCTCTCGCTTGCTAACTTGGCGAATAAGGAGAAGGGCTTGGAGAGTGAGTACCTCGTCGATTTTTAGTTATTAGATTCTCTATCTTTGTTCACCTTTTTATGTGTTGAGCTCTTTGTGTTTGCAGGTCTGATATGAAAGAGAAAATGGCGCGAGTTAAAGGCATGTTACAACACGGAGGAGCTCGAGGTGCCCGAGCCTAGCAAGGAGGAGGTTGCTCCCCTAGACACTCGCCACAAAAGAAAAAGGGGGGAGAAGGGGGTCGGTGAGACCTCGACCCCTGTCATTCTTGAAGAGGTGACCTCGAGGGCTGCCGATGCCAACCCAATCGACCTGACCGGGAGTCCTCCATGCGAGGGGTCGCCGAGGGTGCCCGTGGAAGAGGTCGCCTGAGAGAAACAGGTTTGTGTATTTGTCTTATAGTGTTTCTTTTTGCGTTGTGTGTTGTTTGTGACTTAGATAAATTTTTGTGTTTCGCGTAGGTGGGTTCGATGCCTACCTCCACCGAGGCTCGCGGGAAGGGGCCAAGCTCTGGGGTGCCAACCCCGACTTCTCCTGCTACTGCGTAGGTGGGTCCGATGCCTACCTCCGCCGAGTCTCGCGGGAAGGGGTCAAGCTCTAAGGCACCAACGCCGACTCCTCCTGCTGCTGCTACGCCTTCTCATAGCGGTGTCTTGAGGCTGAAGTGTATTGTTCAATGCTTCGATGTCACCCGTCTAATGGCAAAGTTGGACCATGTGAGTGTGTCTCTGGACATAACGTCGTTGTGGAGTTCAAAGGTGAACGCGGAGTCATTTTTTAAGGAGGACCCGGCCTTTGTTGCTGACAAGGCCATGATAGAGAAAGTTGGTCCAGTGGAGGGCCTAGACTCCGCGAAGGTCTTCATGCAGAGGTCGATTACCATTGTGGACCACTGGAAGCGCAAGTGGCCGAGGCTTTAGGGCGAGTTGGAGAGTGCACGGAGCCGAGTTCTGCCCTTGGAGGAGGAGAACCAGGCCTTGAAGGTCGCGCTGGAGGCTGCGAAGAAAAGTGAAGCTGAGCTTCAGGCTTTGAGGAGAGATCTTTCAAAGACTCATAAGTCTTTAGAAGTCGCTCTGAAGGCCAATGAGGTGTATGCTGCCCAAGTTGGTGACCTGCAAGAGGTTGCCAAGGTCTACAAAGCTGAGGCAAAGGCTTCATAGGGCCGGGCTCTGACCTTAGAGGAGGAGAACGCAGCATTGCGGGCCGACTTGAGGGAGGCTTCCGAAAACGTCTATGCGACGAGGTGCTTCTGGTTGGCAAGGAGGAGGAGGTTGGTGCCTTGAAGGCTGACCTTGCTGCGATGGTTGCGGCGAGGGCGAGCTTGGAGAAGAGGCTCATCGAGACTGAGCGGGCCGTTTTGGTGGAGCATAAGAGGGGGTTTGCAAAGGCGGTTCGCCAGGCTCGATTTATTGCTTCCAGGGTGGACTTCTCCATGATGCACGTTGACAAGGATGTGCAAGGTGGTCAGTTGGTGAATGAAGATGACCTTCCGGGGAGCTCGAGCGAGAATACTGCCACTTAGGCTGTATGTAATAATTTAGTTTATTCTATTTACTTTTTGTGATGAACTCATATCTTTTGTGGATGAACTTGTTGTGTACATGCATTGTTTTTCTCATTCTCGTTTGAGTTTTTGCTTTTGATTTTGTACTCAAATGAATTCGACTAGGTGTAGCCTTGGGTTTTTTGGTCATAGTTCATACTTGACCTTTTTGCTTTTTTGAGGTTTGGACTTGGCCTTAATGTTCAGACTTGACCTTTATTGTTGGACTTGGCCTTAAGGTTCAGACTTGACCTTTATTATTTCTGAGTTCAAACTCGACCTTAAGGTTCAGGCTTGACCTTTTAATCATAATTTGCGCAAAATTCCAAATGTGACCTTGATTTAAAATGAATCGTGCCAAGCTTCGAATTCGACCTTGGGTTAATATATAATATAATTTGTGCCAAGGTTCGAATTCGACCTTGGCTTAATATAATTCGTGCCAGGGTTCGAATTCGACCTTAGCTTAATATAATTCGTGCCAAGGTTCGAATTTAACCTTGGCTTAATATAATTCGTGCCAAGGTTCAAATTCGACCTTGGCTTAATATAAATCATGTCATAACAACGTAAAATTGAGGGGATATGTGTAGAATGAGTCATTTTTATTAATGCTGTGGGTGTGCCTCGTTAAAAACCCTCTTAGCCAAAACCTATTTTTCTATTTTTTGGGACAAAAGACTGAGTAGGGAAAAGAGTGCGCAACCTATTTATACAATTCAGCTAAAATAAAACTTGAGATGAGTGGCATTCCAAGTTTGCGGGATGGTCTTGCCGCAGAGCTCTTCTAGTCAATATGCTCCATTTTCTAAGTCTTCTGTAACTCGAAACGGGCCATCCCAATTAGGTGCGAGTTTCCCTTATGTGGGTCTCTTTTGCTTCGCCTTGTAGCCTCCATACCAAGTCGCCTACCCAGAAAGAGCGAGGTCAGACTCGTGTGTTGTACCTTCTAGAGGCTCAAAGTTTGCAAGCTTCTTCGTGAATCCGAGCCTCCTCTCTGAGTTCGTCTATTAGGTCAAGGTTGACTGTCGCTTCCTGAGCATTTTGTTCATTGTTGAAAGTATGACGCCGATGAGATGTCTCGCCGACCTCGACTAGGATCATGGCGTCGGCCCCGTAAGTCAGCCTATAAGGCGTTTCTTGAGTTGTTGATTGGGGGGTTGCAATGGTATGCCTAGAGAATGATGGGGAGCTCATCAATCCACTATCCCTTGGCGTTTCCAAGTCATTTTTTGAGTTCCCGGAGAATGACCTTGTTTGTGACTTCGGCTTGGCCGTTAGTTTGGGTGTGTTCCACTAAGGTGGGGAGGTGCTTGATACCGAGTTCTCGAAGGAAGCTTTTGAAGCTCTGCGCGATGAACTTCCTACCATTGTCGGTGACGAGGGAATGTGGGATACCAAACCTACAAATGATGTTCTTCTAGGTGAACTTTTGCACGTTCTCGGCGGTGATTTTTGCAAGTGGGCATGCCTCAATCCACTTGGTGAAGTAGTCGACTGCCACAAGGAGGAATTTGAGTTGACCTTTCGCGAGGGGAAATGGTTCGAGGATGTCCATCCCCCACTGGGCAAAGGGCCACAGGGACATCATTTTGTGGAGGACTTCGGGTGGTTGCCGATGTGCGTTGCCGAACTGCTGACATTCTTTACACCTTTGCACATAATCTTGGCAATCTGACTTTAGTGTGGGCCAGTAAGCTCGAAGCACCCTAGTTGTCATCGAGCGTGCCCCGGAGTGCATACCGCATATTCCTTGGTGGATCTCCTCGATGACGTAGGTGGCTTGGGACTTTGTTAGGCATTTCAACAAGGGAGTCGAGATGCCACATTTGAACAGCTCATCTCCGATGATGACAAACTTAGATGACCGTACCCTCGTCTTCCGAGCTTCATCTTTGTCTTCGGGTAGAGTTCCCTCTTTTAAGTAGCTCCATATACCCGTCATCCATCCTTGGTCTTCATTATCATTGGTATTGACGACTTTATCGTCTAGACTGGGAGAATTTAGGGTCTCTTGGATAATGGTTCGATGTTGCCCATGGCGCTTTGTGCTGGCGAGCTTGGACAGGAGATCGACTCTAACATTCTTCTCTTGGGGCACATGGTGTATGGTGAACTCACTAAAGGATGAGATCCGCTGGGATGCTACATGAAAGTACCTTTGTAGTAGGGTGTCCTTGGTCTGGTATGTCCCACTGAGTTATTCTACCATGAGTTTTGAGTCACTATTACAACTTACCCTTTGCACTCCGAGGTCGTGAGCCAACCTCAGTCCTGCTAGTAATGCTTCGTACTCTGCTTGGTTATTAGTGACTCTGAATCCAAATTTAAGAGACTTCTCTACGGTGACATTGTTGGGTCCTTCCAAAATGATACCTGCACCACCACCTTTAGTGTTGGAAGATCCATCAACGTATAGAGTCCATACCTGATTTTCTTCTGCTAGGGTTGGAGTGAGTTCAGCCACAAAATCTGCCAGGCATTGAGCCTTCAAGGGACCTCGACTTTCATATCGGATGCCAAACTCGGACAACTCCACTGACCATGCTATCATGGGCCCGGTGAGTTCTGGTTTTCTCAGTATTTGTTTGATCGGGTAGTCTGTTTTCACCACGACTTAGTGGCTTTGGAAATAAGGTGGGAGACGTCAAGCCGAGGTGACTAGTGCCAGGGCCAATTTTTTAATTGTTTGGTATCTTTTTTCTGTGTCTTGGAGGACGCAGCTGATGTAATATACGGGAATTTGGTTCTTGTCACGTTCTTGTACCACCACGGCACTGATTGCACTTTCAGCCACTGCCAAGTACAAGAGGAGGTCGGATTGATGATCTGGCCTCTGCAAAATTGGTGGAGTTGCAAGGAAACTTTTGAAGCTCTCGAAGGCCTCCTCACATTGGTCGATCCATTCAAAGTTTTTTGGCTTACGTAGCAAGCTGAAGATCGGTCTTGCTTTCTCTGCCAATCTAGGTATGAAACGAGAAAGAGAGACTAACTTGCCTGTCAGTCATTGGACGTCCTTGACTATTTGGGGACTTTGCATCTGTATGATGGCTCTACATTTTTCCAGGTTGGCTTCGATTCCCCTATTGGTGATCATGAAGCCAAGAAACTTACCTCCCTAGACCCCGAAGACACACTTCTCGGGGTTTAGGTGCATGTTGTGCTTCTATATTTGGTTAAATACTTCAGCCAGGTCGGCAACATGGGCGTCGGCCATGTGGTTTTGACGACCATGTCATCCACGTAAACTTTCATGTTTCGTCTGATCTGTTGGTGGAAGACCTTATCCATCAGCCTTTGATAGGTGGCTCCAGCGTTTTTTAGGCTGAAAGGCATCACGTGGTAGCAGAAGTTGGCATGATCGGTGATGAAGACAGTGTGTTCTTCGTCCGGTGGATACATCATGATCTAGTTGTACCCTGAATATGCGTCTAAGAAGCTGAGGAGGGCGTGGTCGGAGGCTCCGTTGACCAGCCTATCTATGCTCGGTAGAGGGCACGCGTCTTTTGGGCATGCCTTGTTCAGGTCGGTGTAATCGACACACATGCGCCACTTGCCCAAGTTTTTCTTAACGAGTACTACGTTGGCTAGCCAAGTAGTGTATATGACTTCTCGAATAAAGCCTTCTCTCAACAATTTTTGCATTTCAGCCATGATGGCTTCTCGTCTTTCTCCACCGACTTTGCGTTTTCTCTGAGCCACTAGTTTGGCTTCTTTATGGATCGCCAACCTGTGACAAATAAGGTTAGGGTCTATACTTGGCATGTCAGCGCTGGACCATGCAAAGAGGTCAATGTTTTTGGAGATTTCGGCTACAAGTTATTGTCGCAACTCCGTGCTCAAATGTTGGCTTATCTTGGTGCACTGGCTAGGGGGTTTTCTGATTTGCAGATCAGCAAGCTCGTCAATTGGACTCGGTCGGTTATCATGGGATTCCGACCTCGGATCCAGGTCAATGACATCAGCTTGGGTTATGTGAGCTACTGTAGTGGGTCACTTCGGCGGTGCTCCTCTAAAGGTGAGGCCTTTAGGCTTTCGGCATAGCATTGCCGAGCTATTTTTTGATTTTCTTTGACTGAGATTATCTTGCCGTTGCTCCTTGGAAATTTCATTGTCAGGTGCGGGGTAGATACCACAACTCCAAGTTGGTTCAACGTCAGCCTGCCGATGATGATGTTATACGACGTGTTGGCCTCAACGAGGAGGTATCTGACCATGATCCTCCTTGAGTCGGGAGGGGTCTCGAAGGTTGTTAGCAAGTCGATGTATCCCCGGGTGTGGACTCGTTCACCTGTAAAACCAACTAGGGGTTTTGTGTAAGGTTGGATCAAGGAATGGGGGACATCTAACCTTAGGAATGTTGGCCAATACAGGACGTCAGCTGAGCTTCCTTGGTCAATCAGCGTCTTGTTTACCTCCCAGTTAGCTACCTCTACCGCGATGACCATGGGGTCATCTTGGTTTGGTCAAATTCCCGTGTAGTTGTCATCCGTGAAGGTGATGGGTGGTGTGTTGCGGTGCAGGGTCGAGGTGTCAGTGTGGACGTGGTTGATGCTCTGTAAGTGTCTTTTACGCGCCGAGCTACTAGAGCCTCCCCCTGCAAAGCCACCTGCAATTGTATTGATGACTCCACGTAAGGGAGTCATTCTTGTATCATGACTTACCTCGGCCTACACTACTCCGCCGGTGTTTTGCTAAGATCTAGAGGGTTGATATGTGCGAGTGCTGGAACCTCGGCCTCGTCCTCGTCCTCGTCCTCGTCCGTGGTAGCCTCCTCTGTGAGATTGTTGTCGTTGGACGTATTGCCCGAAGTGCCCTCCTTGGACGAGTTCCTCGATGTGGTCCTTGAGTGTGCGGCATGTGTGACCATAGTTTCTATGATATCGACAATGCTTGGATTTATCCGCGCTACCTAGGTGGTGGTAGAGTAATCAGGTTGGTATTGATAGCCTCCTCCAATATATGTACTCGGGGTGCGTTCAAGGGGGTGTAGAAGTCATACTTCCCTCATTTGTTCAGCCTAGCCTTCTTGAATTGGTTGTCGTTGGTGACTTTTACCTTATCTTTGTGACCATGGTCTTGCTTTCCCTATGGTTTCCCATGAACTTGGTCACGAAAAGTAGTGTGCTCCTCCATCTGAATGTACCTCGCAGCTCAGGCACGGAGTTCGTCCATGTCCGGGGGAGGTCACCAATAAAGGCTGTCAACGAAAGGTCCTGGCTTGAGCGTCATGAGCATGACGTGTAAGGCGACCTCGGGGTTTAGGTTGCGGATTTTGACGGAGATGCTGGCAAAGTGCTCCATGAACGTCCTCAATGGTTTGTCGTCGCCCTGTCTAAGGCTGGCCAAGGTGGCGAACATGATGTGATGCGGTCGACTCGTTGCGTACTGCACCGTGAATCGCCTCACTAGAGTGTCGAAGCTATCAACTGATCCTGCTGGCAATTGAGTATACCAGGCGAGTGCCGATCCTTTGAGCGAGGTCAAAAAAACCCTACACAGGATAGCATCATTGTTAGTGTATAGGTTTACTTGCGTGACGTACAGATCAACGTGCTCATCTAGGTCAGTAGTGCCATCATAGCAGTCGATGTTGAAAGGCTTCCATCCGAAAGGAAGACGTGTTTCCATGATGCCGTCAACAAAAGATGACGGCGGATGCTCGCCCTCTGTCCTGGAGCCTAGGCGGGTGCATTGCTGACTTCATGGTCTAACCTATACGTCGGTACATGTGACCGATGTGTAGTAGACCTATGGGTCGCTGCCCTGGGTGCAGTCGGTGGCTAGGAAACCGAGTGCCCTTCTTCCTCGTTTTGATTGCTTGGTTGAGGGGGCTGATCAGGGGGGCACTGAGGAAGCTGGGTGCAGATGCGCTCATTCTCAACTCGTAGTGTCGCTAGGTTGGCTTCGTGTCAGGTGCGGATGTTCTCCAGGTCGGCGGCATGTTGTTGTCGCATTTGATCGACCTGCTCGATTAGCCGTCTCAATGTCGCTTCTCCTTCCATTCTTGCTGCATGATCTTGTTCGTCTGTTGCTCGTCTACTATGCTTCAGGTGAAAACTATAAGCGTGGCTGATAAGAGATGTCTTGATCGGCCCCACGGTGGGCGCCAAATGTTCTTACCGGAGATTGGTCGTGAAGGGCGATCTGTTGGGCAAGATTGGTGAGCCTCCTTCACTGGGTACGTCGGTTGTTCCAAAGTGGGGGTGGTACCTGCAAACTATATGTAGTGCACGTACCTTAGTGTGAATTAGGGTTTATCTGGGTCCTAGGCCCGAGGTCGGTTGTGATTTGTTCAAATAGTGGGTCTTTGTTTTGACCGATGTCTTATAGCACTCATCCGACGTCATTTAGTGCTTTAGTGCCGAGCTTGAGCTCGGCTCGTGATGCGGATAGTACAATATTGAAGAAGAAAGTGATTCTTTTGAATTTAATGGGATACTTAGTAGCATGTATAAGGATAGTTGTTTAGTAATATCTTATCTTCAAATTTTATTGTTATTATTATAATTTATATTAATAAAAAAATCTTTTGATAAAAGATAACACAAAATCAATTTAATATAATCTATTTAAAAAAAAATAAATTCACATTTAAAATTAATGATAATTCTTTCACAATATTAATTTAAGGTCATGATAATTAAATTTGATATTAACAAAACTAAATCAATCATTGACTTGGTTATTATATTGGATTTCACTAATTTAATCAGTAAATCATTTAAGATTTGATATATTATTTAATTTTGGAATTTTTTATGATTTTATAATTAGGTTTCTAAATTATTTTTTTAATTTGGTCCTTTATTTATATTTTATAATTTAGTCTCTAGTATTAGAAATTTACTTACATTTTATGATATTTCACAAAATATTTTTGATTCATATGAATGATAAAATTGAATAATAATTTAACATGATTTTTTAGGTAGACAAATAATAAAAATATTTTATGAAATTCACATATTGTATGTGAATTTATAACTAAAACTAAGTTACAAAAATATAAAAAGATAAAAAGGTATAATTACATTTATTATTTTTTTAGCTTAGGACCTAATTAAAAATTTTTAAAATAAAAATTAGGAACTAAATTAAACTATCATTTATTGAACTGCATTAATTAATATATATTAAACATATTTTTACTGTACCAAAAAAAAGATAATAATATAAAAAAATTAACAAAAGTATTATATATAGTTTTAAATTTTCACATAACATTAGAAGATTAGTTTTGGTGTAGTGGCTATAATTATTTTAACCTTCTAAGGATAAGGATTAAATCCCATTGATATCAAAATTTCACTTTAATTTTGAATATTTGACTGAATTTGTATATAATTTTTTTATCAAAAGATAATATTATTTTTATTTTTATTTTCAAATAAAATTTTACATTTAATTACTATTATTATTACTCAAGATTAGTTGTGCTAGTTTAACTTCAGTTCAAATTTAATTCTTTAATATTTATATTTTAGGTCAAAGAATAAAATAATATTAAAATTAACCTTACATAAAATAATTCTAATTTTAATATTAAATAAAATTGTAAATTTATTGATTGTTATTTAACTAATATTTTAGTTTTTGTATTATAGATAATAAGTATTTATATATAACTAAATCATTTTTTTAAGTGCATGAATTTATATATCTATCATTTTTTTTTATAAAATATTATTCATAATTTAAAACTTTCACATAGTTATAAAATATTAATTCTGACTTGTCTCTTCAAACTGCTAACTAAGTATTCTTTTAGTAACAAGTCTTTTCAAGCTTAACAACTAAGTATTCTTTTCAATCAAGTCTCTCCAAGATCATATAAGTATTGTTTTATAGACAAGTCTCTTCAGGCTCAACCTTATAGCAATGGATATGAAGGTTACAAAGATGTTGTGTTCGCTCACTTAGATGTTATTCAACTAGTATAAAGTAGTAAGCTTTTACAAGAAAAATGAGGATTATATACAAGTATGATTTACTAAGAGTGTTTCTTCGTATATGTTTTTGTACAAGTCTCTTCTTTTTCTTTCTTGAGCTTTGAATCTTCTTATATAGTAGCTTGGAGAAGATGATCATTGTAACACTTTGAGTCCAGCTCACAAGTTTGCTTCTTTTGTCTTCAACATCTTTCCATGAGATGGGAGGTAACCGTTGACTCATTTAATATAAGCATTAAATGAATTTCACTAAATGGTACCTCCTATCTAATCAAGGAAACTACTTATCATATTTTCATACCAAATAGAGCTTGTAGACACAATGTCAACGTAGTGCAACAACAATAGTGACTTTATTTGCTTTTCTCTATGATTTTAGGGATCTTTATCCTTGTTCCTAATGGAAAGCATGATCTTGTTCTCTTTAACATATTTGTGAGTAACAAGATGATTTTATAATTTGATTTTTTAAGGAATAAGACATTCAAAATAAATATTGTCGTTAGTCACAATGAATAATGAACATTTAATGAATATGAGACAAACTATATGTTTCGTCTGTTTCACATCGTCTTATAGATGATCTACATCTTACCCTTCATGTGATAAGCATTTTCAAAGATATTTTTGAAAATGGTTTAGAAGACATTTCCTCTTATAAAAATGTTTCATTTATTACATTCAAACTCTAAAATTTGAAGGATCCAAGATTGCCTTTTGACTTAACAATCTCCTTTTTTATGGTGGAAAACACATTTTTATATTTTGAAATGTCCATTTTCTTTGTCTTAGAAAATATTTTTTTGCTTTGGTAAGACAAAAAGACTTTTGACAATTTGAAATGCTTTCATCTTTCAAAAGGTATTTTCCTTACAGGTGTTTTGACTTTTTAACTTTGAAAAACTTTTTCAATTTTTCCTAAGATATTTTTCTTAAAAGCACAAAGCAATTTGAAATCATTTTTATTAGAGTGATGTAAGGCACGCATCTAAAATGTTGTAAAATCATTCAAGCGAATCCTTTGGAAACCATAATCCAACATCCAGAGTTCCTCTTAGATATTTTAAAATTCTTTTAACAATAGTCATATGTGAATCCTTTGGATTGACTTGAAATCTAGCACACAAGCATACATCAAATATTATATCGGTTCTACTAGTTGTAAGATATGATAAAGAACCAATTATACTTCTATACTTTGATGTATCAACAATTGTACCTCTCTCATCTAAATCAAGATTACATGAAGTTGAAATTGTTGTGGCAACTTCTTTACAACTTTCTATAACAAATTTCTTTAAGAGCTAATTGCAATACTTGGGTTGACTTACAAATATACCATAGTTTAGTTGTTTTATTTGTAGTCTCAAAAAGAATGTTAATTCTCCCATCATAGACATCTCAAACTAACCCTACATTATCTTAACAAATTCTTGACACAAAGAGAGATTAATAGCTTCATATACCATGTCATCCACATAAATTTGAACAAGGAAGGGATTTTTCAAGATTCACCTACAAAACTTGAAAGGAAGAATTTCAAATATATTTGTAATACATTTTGATAGATAATAGATATTCTTGTGACGTAAGTATGAAGGCGAATTACATTAAATAAATTTTGTGTGATCTTTTTTTAATTTTTTTATAGTGTTATTTTAATGTGTTTCTCATTATCACTACTACAATATGTATTATCTACATCGGTTTTAAAACCGATGTAGAATAGGGCAACTTAGACATACATACACTTTTACATCGATTTTGAACCGATGTAGATTTTTGCACAAATCTACATCAGTTTTACTAACAACCGATGTAGATTTGTACACAAATCTACATCAATTCTACTAACAACCGATGTAGATTGCATTTTTTTTTTTAAAAAGGCTTCATTTATTTTTTAGATTCTTTCTGGTTACCTGTAATAGACATATATATATATATATATATATATATATATATAAATCTCAAATAGAAATTGTATAGTGCACTATTCTACTCAATTGTGTTGCTTAAGTAGAGTGGATACAATTTAACTTGTTTAATAAATCAAAAAACTTGTTCAAACTTAGTAATGGTTAACAAAAGTATATAAGGACAAGAATAGAAAGCAATATGGATAGCATTACCACCAAACTATAGATAACTATCCATCCTTGCATGTCATCATTTTTCTATAAAAGAATTTGTGAAGAAAAAGACAAAAAAGAAAGAAAGAGAGAATTAAGGTCCTCCGAAAGGCTAAAGCATATCATAGTGTAAAAACTAGAAAAAATAAAAACAAGGACAAAACATAGAATAAAAACCTGAGTTTAAAATTTCCAAGTGCTACATTAAGGATTTTGCAGACATACTCTCTCTGAATGAGACTAGCATTAATGCTTCCAAAGAAGCCAAATATCTCATTCATGCCCAAAAGAAAATCTCTCGTGTGTTTATTTGGCATCTAAAACAAGCGTGGAATTGGAGCTTGGAATTTGCACTAGACCTATTATTTCTAATTTTCATACTTGGGAAGGTTTTTGAGCATTAGAATTACAACTCCATCTCTATGTCTTAAAAACACATTTTGATTTTTCTATAGTTTTAATTCTTCCTATTTGTTCTATAATTATTGTAATCACACTCTTACTTGTTTAAACACATAAAATGAATGTTTAGTTATCTGTATTTGCT